GTATGTATATGTGTGTGTATGTGTGTGTATGTATGTATGTATGTATGCATGCATGCATGCATGCATGTATGTATGTATGTATGTAAATATGTATATATGTATGTCTGTATGTATGTATGTATGTGTGTATGTATGTATGTATATGTATGTATATGTATGTATATGTATGTATATGTATGTATATGTATGTATGTATGCATGTATGTATGTATGTAAGTAATGTAATGTAATGTAATGTAATGCGAAGTAATGAAACGTAATGAAATGTAATGTAATGCAAGGTACTGTAATGAAATGTAATGTAATGTGATGTGATGTAATGTATGCATGGATGCATGCATGTATGTATGTATACATATGTGTATATATATATAGAGAGAGAGAGATAGATAGATAGATAAATATATGTATAAATAAATATATATATACATAAATATAAATATATATATATAAATAGGTAAATGGAATAAACATGGGTTGGGCTTGGTGCATTTGGAGATTGATTGAAACTTATGATTGTTCATTTTCGCGAGGATCAACAATGATAAACACGCATAAACATGAACACAGGCTATTTTCATCTTTTTTGTGAACTATGACGTGCCAACTTGTGACTGCCACATTCCATTGTCACTCGAGTTCTAAAGACTCCAGCAGCTCATTAACCAACCCATAGGACTCCAAAGTTTCAGATATTCCCAATCCGAAGTGTCCCATCAAAAACCCACCACCCAAACCCACCATTTCCGTGTCAAGGTCAGCTCCAGGGCGCGTCAGAAACTCCGGAGAAGACTGCCATGCTTCCAGATTCCGCGCCTGTGCAGTGCACATGGTGTAGCCCCGCAGGATGAAATCCTCTCCTTGCCCCGAGCACCCGAGGCTTGGAGGACAAGTGGCCGGAGTTTTTTTTGGGTTGCAAAAATGCTGGGAATGGATGGTTTGAAGGATCTTGGTCATGTCTTTTAAACAACAATTCCAGTATTCCTGATTGACCTCCCAAGAACAAATTAAAGACGAATCAGCCATCATCCCTCCCAACGATCATCTTCCAACACCCCCAACCCCCAACACCCCTAACCCAACCCACCCTGCCCCGTCTCCTGTCGGTCTGCTATACACCGGCAGTGGCACTTGCACGGCCTCGCCGCCGGAACTCTCTACGGAGCCCTGCGGGAAGAGCCCCGCGTGCAGCGCATAGGCGCTCTGCAGGGTGCGAGCCAGGCCGCTACTCTCAGCGTGCACCTGGGAGCCCTACCAGGGGCCTGGCCCTCGGGGGCTTAAAAGGATTAGCCCTGGCGGCTAAGCCGGTTTCGTTCCTGGGATACATGTCTGATATATGCAATGCGTATATATCACTTTTAAATATATATGTATATATATATATATGTATTTATATATATAAAACAATATATATATATGTATGTATATGTGTGTGTGTGCGTGTGTGTATACATATATACATATACACATATATATACATATATACATATATACATATATACATATATACATATATACATATATACATAAATACATAAATACATAAATACATATACATATATATATATGTATATATATGTGTGTGTGTGCGCGTGTGTGTATACACACGCAGCCTATAGTTATGCGTTATAAGTCATATATAAGGAGGTGGAGACGTCAATATATCTCGAGGGTTGATTACCTTGGAGAGTGCAAAAAAAATATGCCGACCACAAAAATGTGAAGGATGTGTATCTTTGGGGGGAAGGTATGTGTTTGTGTGGTTCCAAAGGGACAAAGGCGCTTAGGTTTTCAAAACAAAAGTGCTCAGGCTTGACTCTAGATCCTAGATCCCCTTCCCAAAAGAAACAGTATTGGGATGTGACATATTCCTCCTATTGTGGCTCAAAGGTTAACCACTTAACCACCCAGCCACCCCTGCATGTCAAAACCCTTGGTACCCCCCTTTTTCAGATGGTATAGTTTGATCTTCATCCTCGAAAATCATGGCAAATCATCGGTTTTGATCCGGAACGAATCACTTTTGGTACCAACAAAAAATAAACTTGCTACCCCCAAATCTTTTCTAGATGGTATATATATGTATATATATATATATGGGATACCTATAGATACCCATAGCTTTTGATCCTTTCCCACTTCAGTTTCGCCCTGACCTCGTCTTGTGCGTAGACGCCATTGCCCACTTGGCCATTGAGGCACCTCAGATCCCGCCGATGGCTGAAATACCCAAGGAGTTTTCTCTCGATGGAAGACCCAATTTTGATGATTACAACCCATTTATGATAAGTTGGGACACTACTGCTGCTGCTGCTCCTACTACTACTACTACTACTCCTACTACTCCTACTACTCCTACTACTCCTACTACTCCTACTACTCCTACTACTACTAGTACTACTACTACTACTACAACTACTACAACTACTACTACTACAACTACTACTACTACTGCTACTACTACTACTACTGCTACTACTACTACTACTACTACTTACTACTACTACTACTACTACTACTACTAGTACTAGGGATAGTTTATGAAGGTTTCTGATAAATTGATGTTGGTTTACTATTGTTTTACCAACATTACTAGGGATAACAAGGGAATATTTTCATGGGATATTCATAAATATTGATGGGATATTGATGGATATATCCTCTGGTGTCCTCAAACGTGGCTACATGGGAAATCACCGAACTAGCCATGCAGGTTTCTAGCTGGGAAATCATGAGCCTAGATGGTGGATGTGCTGTCGACATGTTATTGTCGGAGGGCATTTGAAATTTAACACCCCCGAAAAACTGGAATTGAACCATCAAGAATGTGGATGATAAAACGGGATTTCACCAACAATTATTGGTATATACCTTCTGGTAAACGTTTACATAACTATGGAAAATCACCATTTTTAATGGGTAAATCCATTATAAATTGCCATTTTCACTAGCTATGTTAGTTTACCAGAGGGTAATGAAAATATAAGTTTACAACAGAAAAAGGAGTTGGACGGCGGTCCTGTATGGGTTAGGCGCCCCGGTCAATGCCCCAAGTATACAACCGTGGGAATTGATACCCTGTTGCACCCTATCATCCCAGCCATTTGAAGGCATCAGCAATGGAGAATCCACCCTCCAAACTAAGGGGTCATTTGGGTTCCTGGGATGTATGTACATGTTTATATGTAAAATTAAACTAGTTGCCATATCCATCTGCATATATCTGTTCGAAAATCAAAATAGGTAAAAAGAAAAAAAGGATCAAATACAAATATATACAAACCGCGATTTCAAACATATTTATGTAGATCTACCCAGCCCAATCCTCCCCATATAAAAAAAGATCCCATAATGCCTCCATACTCGTTCGATAAACTATCATAAACTCCTGTTTCTGTTACTTCTTGCAGGCTAGTCCACAAAATCCCTTGGGTTTACCAATTGCTGTTGTTAATTCCGACTTCTCAAACGGATAGCATACAGCCAAGGTTGACAATAGTTCTATATATATATATATATGTATGTACGTACGTACGTACGTACGTATGTATGTATGTATACGTATATTATATATATATGCATACACGCATATATATATATATCATATCACTAATTGTAGAATTGCATTAGAAGTAGCAGCCAGAGACTACTTACATAGGCCATGGGATTAGCGATGCCTGGTTAGCAACTGGGTTTAGTAACACCCCTCTAGGGGGAAAAACTCTGATAATCTATTTGCTACTTACTTAAATAACAAACTATGGCCCAAAACGTTCTCAGGCTGATGATGAGTTCCCCATTCTATCCCCATTCATATTCCATGAAAAAATCCCATAAATTTATCCTTATTCAGCCATAGAAAACTAGGATCCCATTATAATTCCATTTATAATCCCATTTATGTAATATATTATAATCCCATTTATAGTATATTATAATTCCATTTATGATTCCATTTATAATCCCATTTAAAATTCCATTTATAATTATAATCCCATTCTAATCCCATTATCATCCCATTGATAACCATTAAATCACCATAAAAATAGTGGTTAAATCACCATTTTCAATGTCAATGGGAATCCCATTTATAATCCCATTGATGTAATATATGATGTACCCTCTGGTAATTTGTTACATAGCTATTGAAAATGACCATAGAAATAGTGGATTTACCAATTGAAAAATGGTGGATCTTTCCATCGTTTTTTGTATGTTTACCAGAGGGTAAACCTTCATTTTCCTATGGTTTTCCCATTAAAACCTCCATTTTCCTATGGTTTTCCTATGGTTTTCCCATTGAAACCTCCATTTTCCTATGGTTTTCCCATTAAAACCTCCATTTTCCTATGGTTTTCCCATTAAAACCTCCATTTTCCTATGGTTTTCCCATTAAAACCTCCATTTTCCTATGGTTTTCCTATGGTTTTCCCATTGAAACCTCCATTTTCCTATAATTTTCCCATTAAAACCTCCATTTTCCTATGGTTTTCCCATTAAAACCTCCATTTTCCTATGGTTTTCCCATTAAAACCTCCATTTTCCTATGGTTTTCCTATGGTTTTCCCATTGAAACCTCCATTTTCCTATAATTTTCCCATTAAAACCTCCATTTTCCTATGGTTTTCCCATTAAAACCTCCATTTTCCTATGGTTTTCCCATTGAAACCTCCATTTTCCTATGGTTTTCCCATTAAAACCTCCATTTTCCTATGGTTTTCCCATTAAAACCTCCATTTTCCTATGGTTTTCCTATGGTTTCTAGCAATTTCCCCATAGATATCCCCAGTCATCACCTCAGATCCGCCACGGAACCGATCCGTGCAGCCGCCCGGCCGCGTGTAGCGCTGGCGCAGCAGCTGCCCCAGCGCCTTCTCCGCGGCGGCGCCCGTGGCGGTGAGCAATGGCCCACCGACAGCGCCCTGGGCATACACAAATGTGTATATGTAAATTTAAATAAGTAAGTTAATTAAATAAATGGATAAATTAAATTTAAAAAAATAGATAAATAAATAAATAGATAAATAAATAAATAAATAAATATTATATATATATATATCTGTGTGTGTAATCTCTCCCTCTCTCTCTCTCTCTCTCTCTCTGTCTCTTCCAAGTGGCTAAGGGGAAAACAATCTGTCTATCGTGTGGGGAAGCTCATGGCTCCTTGGCTCCCCATTGGAATATCGATACCTCCAAAACGCTCCCTCCTAACCGATTGCCCTCTGGTAATTCAATTGCATCGGACAATCACCATTTTTAATAAGGACATCTTTGAACTAAATGGGCGATGGCTTCCATAGCAAACTGTAGCAAATTGCCGGAGTGCAATTAAGGGTACCCAATTTCCAGAGGTTTGGAATATATGTTCGTTATATCCCCATTAAAACGGTGTATAATGTGGGTAACACAATAATAAAACATCCCCCAGTCATCACCATAAATAGGTGGTACGTTTACCATTCCCAGTCATGAGTGGTTTATTATAGTTTATGGCATTGTTTTACCCACATTAGACCCCTATGAATATATCTTCTCAATCCCACGAGGAAGCCCGATTCGTTGGTTTATTCCATATATGAATGGATTCTATATATATATAGGTCTGTCTATCTATCTATCTATCTATCTGTCTGTCTATCTATCTATCTATCTGTCTATCTATCTATCTATCTATCTGTCTATCTATCTATCTGTCTATCTATCTATCTATCTATCTGTCTATCTATCTATCTATCTGTCTATCTATCTATCTATCTGTCTATCTATCTATCTATCTATCTGTCTGTCTATCTATCTATCTATCTATCTACATCTAGTCTACATCTACATCTACATCTGCATCTCCATCTACATATACATCTATATCTATATCTATATCTAATCTATCTATCTATCTCTATATCTATATCTACATCTACATCTATATCTATATCTAATCTATCTATCTATCTCTATATCTATATCTATATCTATATCTACATCTACATCTATATCTAAATCTAATCTATCTATCTATCTATCTATCTCTACATCTGCATCTACATCTACATCTATATCTATATCTATATCTAATCTATCTATCTATCTCTATATCTATATCTACATCTATATCTATATCTATATCTAATCTATCTATCTATATCTATATCTATATCTACATCTACATCTACATCTATATCTATATCTAATCTATCTATCTATATCTATATCTACATCTATATCTATATCTAATCTATCTACCGATCTATCTATCTCTATATCTACATCTACATCTATATCTATATCTATATCTAATCTATCTATCTACATCTATATCTATATCTATATCTACATCTATATCTATATCTGTATCAAATCTATCTATCTATCTATCTATCGATCGATCGATCGATCGATCTATCTATCTCTATATCTACATCTACATCTATATCTATATCTAATCTATCTATCCAATTCTATATCTATATCTATATCTACATCTATATCTATATCTGTATCAAATCTATCTATCTATCTATCTATCTATCGATCGATCGATCGATCGATCGATCGATCTATCTATCTCTATATCTACATCTACATCTATATCTATATCTATATCTACATCTATCTCTATATCTACATCTACATCTATATCTATATCTATATCTGATCTATCTATCTATCTATCTCTATATCTATATCTACATCTATCTCTATCTCTATATCTATATCTATATCAAATCTATCTATTGATTTAATATAACTATAGTAAATCTGATTATCAACCAGCTACAGCTCGTGGAAAATCATCCGCCATGGATTCCATTGAACCTCCTCCTCCTGCGTCAAGGCATCCTTCACCAGCCGCTGCCGTTCGCCGTGTCTGCTGACCAACACCTAGTCCGCGTGTTTCACGCGACGGAATCCGGTCGGGCGATATCCACCCCCTTTAGCCAGCCCTAAAAAACCATGGGAAAACCCAGTAAAATAGTGGTAAATTGTGGTTTTATCCTGTTTTGGATGTGGATTACTGTCACGCGCTTAACCTACCTTTTTAGGCGATTGCCGGGTTGAGAAGGAACTCCACAGTCAGTTGGGAAATTGGGCTAAAGCGTCCCCAAAACGATTTAAAAGGGAAATAATCCTACTATCACTAGAATATACCAAAATGACAGCGGTAAATTATGCTTTTCTATCCTTGCTTGCTTGGGGGTTACTATACTTCATCATAGCCTGATTTGTTTGCAAATACATCATTTTGCTGCAACCCCCAGTGGCTACTAGAGCTGGGAAATATCACACACTGTACCGCTGGGGCATCTGTTGATATCATACTGCGACATGGGATGACAGGGAAATAGGACATCTTCGGAGGAATGCAGAATATTCACAAATGAAAAGACTACACATATATTGTAGGTATATCTATAATTATATGCAACAAAAAAATATATAACTGGGGCTGAGGTGTAGCTAGGAAATGCTAGCGCCCCACTGTGCCAAGTCATGACATATCCATTCTATCCAAGGTATCACGGTATCCCAATGAAATTCCCGTCAACCTGTCAACCTCGTATCAGGATGCTTCAAGTCTGTCCTAGTGAACCTGTTTAACCACTGATATTTTTCATACAAAGATCCATCTGCCAGCTCTGGCAACAAGCTTGCTTAGCTCATACCAGAATGTTCAAGCCAAAGAACTTCAAAAACCATGGTTTTCCATGGTTTTCCATGGTTTTCAAGCTTACTTAAAAATCATGACCCAAAAACTCAAAGTTTTCCTGAAAAAAACCCATGAAAAGTCCATATCTTTTCTCCTGCATCCATCTGCATCCCAGGTGCCACCCGCTCCAGAGCAGAGGCGTAAACCAGAAGTGAAAGCAGCAGCATGGGAACTGGAAGATCACCCAGCATATTGGATGATTTTGGATGGACAAATCACCCAAACATTTGGGGGTGTTACCAGGATTTCATGTGGAAAACTGGAGTGGTTTTAACTCACTGACCACCGTGCGTTGCGTGCTTTGGTTCACCGGAAAATATCGGAAATGGGCGTTTTCGTCACTGCTAAAAAAAGTGGGGTTAGTTTCCCCAAGTGGGCCTAGGAATCGGGGACGAATCCAATCACCGTTGCTAAAAATCACTTGCGATGATGGATGAACCACCGCAAGCGTAGCCCACCATGAATGCCTTGCGAATTTTGCTGATGCTATTTGAAGGGTGGCCGAAATAGAATGTCAGCGTGCACAACTTCTCTGGTATTCACTGCAACTCTGGCATTCAAACCCCGCGTACAGCAATGGTTCTCTGGAATCGTAATACCTCATGAGGCTGGCTTGATATACACCTACCCTCTGGTAAACTAACATAACTATGGAAAATCACCATGTTTAATGGGAAAATCCACTATTAATGGTCATTTTCAATAGCTACGTTAAATTACCAGAGGGTAATTACACCTGAAATTATTCTGTGGTAACAGCTACTGGGGTGGAATCTTCCAGATTGTGGGCTTCCAATTGCTCTTCGATCGTCTCGGGCCCCGGTTCTTCGAGCTACCACAGAGGAGCCAAACGTCAGCGAAGTGGGGCAAGCAACATGCATCAGAAAATCTCAGCTCTCCTGATACTCTCCGGTAATCTAACGTCGCTGTTGTTTCTCGAATTTGGCAATGCTAAAGTAGCTCTCAAAATGAGCTGCCAGACTAGCATTTTGCGTAGACCACTAGCTATTGGACAGAATCAACAATATATAAACAAGTAAGAAAAGTTTGAACAGGAGGCCACTAACATAGCTATCATTTGACAGCACTCAAGGTTTCCAACATAGAAGGAAGCCCACCAACATAAATATCCATTTTGTTCCTGGATATTCCCATTTTACAGCATAGCTAATGTGGCAAATACGTGAAAATTACATTTATATATATATAATTATTATTATTATTGCTATTCTTATTATTATTGTTATTGTTATGTATATAATGCCACATTAGATTACCAAAGTGTATTGTACAGCTGTTGAGGTGGGCAGTTAGGGTGCAACTTTGCCAGCCCAGTGTGATTGTTTCTATTAGGCAAGCCTTCATGAATACAACATGTCTGGCATTTCATTTTTTGCGTGACCACCCGTTTCCAGCTTTGAAACCCATATGAAAGAAACATCGATCGTCTACAACTGGGGAAGTTGAAGCAATCAATGGGAGATCTTCAGGATCCTAAAATGGAGGTACGTTAGTGCCACATGTTTGGCCATATTTTGTGGGGATATTCGAGGTCGAGGTCGAGGTCGAGGTCGGAGGTTTCGATTCGAAAGAATCCCTCGGAGTTCCTGTTTTTTAGCAGGAGATAAAGAAATCACTCCGTAAATGTTATCAGGGAACCAAGGGATTATATTCCCTGAAATTTAGGCCTTATATAGGCCTTATATATGGTAGATACCTCCAATTTAGGTTCCTGAAATTCCCATTGAAGCAAGCCATGCGAGATTACAATTTTGTGGCTATGAGTTCAAAAAGAACATCCCCAGCTTTGGCGCACAAAAACCCTCATTTCCCGAGCTGGCGAAAGCTCCAAGTTGTGGTCGCAGTCCCCATGTTTGCCTCGATTTTTATCCCTTCCATTTTACCAACTGCCCATTTTCTTGGCATTTCTCGGCGACTGGGCCGTATTTTTGCCCCGTTTCTGCCCCATGTCGGATCGTTTCGGTATGAACCCAGGGCGCCTGCAGGGTCTCCTTCCCGAGGTCGTAGCTCAAGGTGTTCACCTGCACGCCAGACATTTTCTGAAGGCAGATCATGGGGATGGCTGCCAAAGTATATTCTCTGGTTGGTGGTTAATAATGGTTTAATAATGGTGAATAGTGGTTAATAATGGTTTAATAATTGTGAATAGTGGTTAATAATGGTTTAATAATGGTTAATAGTGGTTTATAATGGTTAATAATGGTTAATAATTAATAATGGTTTAATAATGGTGAATAGTGGTTAAAAATGGTTTAATAATGGTGAATAGTGGTTAATAATGGTTTAATAATGGTGAATAGTGGTTAATAATGGTCTAATAATGGTTAATAGTGGTTAATAATGGTTAATAATGGTTAATAATGGTTAAAAATGGTTAATAATGGTTAATAATTAATAATGGTTTAATAATGGTGAATAGTGGTTAATAATGGTTAACAATGGTTAATAATGGTTAACAATGGTTAATAATGGTTAATAATGGTTAATAATGGTTAATAATGGTCAATAATGGTTAATAATGGTTAATAATGGTTAATAATGGTTAATAATGGTTAATAATGGTTAATAATGGTTAATAATGGTTAATAATGGTTAATAATGGTTAAGAATTGTTAATAATGGCTAATAATGGTTATAATGGTTAATAATGGTTAATAATGGTTAATAATGGTTCATAATGGCCAATAATGGTTAATAATGGTTAATAATGGTGAATAGTGGTTAATAATGGTTAATGATATTCCAAACCACCAACCAGTTCTTGATTACTAGAGATATACAGTACGTCATTCTAATTTCTCATTAAAATATTCTCTTGAGATACCGGGATAAATCTTGGTCTTGGTTAGCAATGGCCTGACTTAAGTGACTGAACTGTCTAATGATTAGCTAATGGCCTGGTTGAAAACTGGTTCCTGGTTCCAATCTTTCTTCCAAGTCTTGGGAAACGAAAAAAACCAGAAAGCTGGCCATCTTTTGGATGAATCGAAAGGACTCACAAAACGGGATTGAAAGGACTCCCGGACTCCCTTTCGCCAAACATACTTCACCCAGAATGGAGATCTGGGAATTGCCTGGGAAAACTCACCCAGACACGGGGACAGTGGAAGATGATTGTGGTAGGGCGAACCGGGCGAACCTCCGAACCTCGGAGAAATCCAAAGTTCCAGGTGTTGCGATGTTCTACGTGTTCCCGGGGTTTTCGGGGCAAAATGCTGCCATTCTTTCGGACAAGTGATGCGCTGGAAAAATGTCGGTGTTTACGGAACTTTGGTTCATAAGTCCCCAAAACCCAAGTGAGAAAATTCCCAAAATTCAGGGTCATAACCAACAACAATGAAACAATCTTTGAGAAAACCTAACCTTGGCCGGATGTTTTCCAAACTTTTGGGAAAAATCTCCGGCCAAACCCCACCACCATACCGAAACGTTTGGCAGCCGCACGTACGTCCCCAGGCTTCTGCCCGGCAGGTCCGCAGCGTAGACGTGCTCACTGAGCTGGCAAGGCCTGAGCTGTTAAACCACTGTAAACAGACAACTGGGATAATAATGGGATATTAATGGGTTATTGGGATAACATGGGATAACAATAGCTGAACTGTTTTATATGATATTTATTGATATTGATTGGGATAATAATAGGATAATAACAGGATAACAATAGGATACTAATGGGATTTTCCCTCTGGTAACGTGGCAATTGAAAATCCTCTATAAATGAAGGTATTTAATGGGGAAATCAAAATTTGCATTTACCAAATGGGTAGAACTGGAACTATACCCTCCAGTAAACTAACAGTTCGCTATGGAAGCCATGGCCCATTTAGTTCAAAGACTTACCTACTAAAAATTGTGATTTTATAGTGTGTTAAATTACCAGAGGGTAATCAGTTGGATGAAAATAAACTCCCAGAGAAACTGAGATAAACTTGTCCCAGGTATAGTTAAACTACAGTGAAGGTTGCAGAGCAACTATGTAAAGGTTGTTAAGATATATAACTAGATGCACTTCGCATAGTTGTATAGTCAAAGAGTCATGCCATCTCCTCACTTTTGGATGCAACGGGCCTCCAAAACATTCGACAAGTCATTGGCACATGACAATTTGGGGACCAACGAATATTGCCGGCAATGCCTGACATGTTACCGCCACCACCATCGCCATCACCTCCTCATCAAAACAATGAATGCTAATCATAATCGTCGCAATACTACTATAATAAGCATCATACCCTCTGGTAAACTAACAAAAAGCTATTGAAGCCATGGCCCAGTCGAAATAGTTGATTTACCCAGCTACAGAATGGCGGATCTTTCCATCGTTTTTTGTATGTCTACCAGAGGGTACCCTCTGGTAAACTAACATAACTATGGAAAATCACCATTTTTTGTGAGAAAACTCACTATAGATTGCCATTTTCAATAGCTATGTTAGTTTACCAGAGGGTAATAAGGATCATCATGATCATAACCACCATCTCATCCCGTTCGTTGGATCTCCAGGAGATGGTGCCTCCAGTGGTAGGTGGACTGGATCTGTTCCACATCCTCCCGCGGCGGCCCATCGAAACGGAAACGGCGTTGCAGGTGCTGCCGCACCAGGAATACTGGAAATAACTTACTGGTGATGGTTAATAATGGTCAATAGTGGTTAATAGTGGTTAATAGTGGTTAATGATGGTTGATCATTGATTAAGTAATATACTGTTTTTGTTACTGGTGGGTTTTACGTAGGGAATGGATGTGAATGGGGGTTGCTGGCATTATTATTAATGGTTATTGTGGATCATTCCCTCATTCCCTACTGAGCACCAGTAAGATAAATACCAGCTGGTAATTTATTTAACATAGCTGTGGAAGCCATGGCCCATTGATAGATCATTTACCTATAAACAATGGTGATGCTCATGGATTTTACATTGCTATATTAAATCATCAGAGGGCATTCAGGCAAAGCACGTTCAATACGTAGTGTATATGCACATAGACAGATGATGTGTGTATGTGTGTATCTTTGCTTCGACATGTTGTTCCGTCCATTAATTCAGGGGTGCACCATGCCTTTCACCTCACTCTTAGGTTTTACTGGTTTTGAATTAGATCGTCTTTCACCACCTATCCATAGCCTTTCGCCTTCAATAGGTGTGATGTTCCCGATATCCAGCACAGGCAGGACTATGCAAATGTCGGCATGCGCATGAACACTTCCCAAATAACCTAAATAGCCTCCAGTATTCATCAATCTTTTTCCCCAATAAGATTGTAACTTTCAATTTATTTTCAGATATTTTGTGGGATAAACTTTTGGATAGGTTAAGGTAAAATGTGATTTAAGTTTAACAAAAAGTGGGGATATTTCAGGGGATATCCCCAACTTTATGGACATTCCCTGGCGTCACCTCCAAACAGCACAATACCCTGGTGATGCCACATGACCCCACCTTCGCCGGGATCTGCGCGTGCTGCAGGGACTTGGGCAGAGGCGGCAGGTGGGGCTTCTCTCCTCCACCAATCAGCCTAGCCAGGCCGAGACTTGCACGGGTCCGGGGGGTCAAAGGTGACGAAGTTCTGGATATAACCATGGTAACAGATGTGTAGACTCATGTAGATATAGATTCTATAGAGTCTCAGAGATATGGATATATAATAATATATAGCTATATAGCTATGTTATGTGTATTCTAGTTATAGAATGTTATAGATACCTCATCCGTCCTTATCTGTGTATACCAACACTGGGCATTTCCCAAGGCACGTCAGCGGCTTCTCCCGCTGCTGCGCTTGCTTCTCCGCCGCCTTGGCAGCCAGCTGGGCCTGCGTCCAACGAAATGGTGGGCTTTTTCCGGCCATGGAGGTTTTAATGGGAAAACCATGGGAAAACCATGGGAAAACCATAGGAAAACCATAGGAAAATGGAGGTCTACCCTCTGGTTATGTCAACAGTTAGCTATTGAAAATCACCATTGAAATAGTGGATTTTCCCAGCTAGAAAATGGTGGATCTTTCCATAGTTATGTTAAATTACCAGAGGGTATCCATTACTATCCCGTTATTATCCCATTCAAAAATTCCATTATCACCATTCATAGTAATATGATGTAATATGATGTAATATGTCTATTCCAAAACAGCTATAAAATCCCTACTAAAATGGTGATCAAGCACAGATTCTATCGTTGTTATTCCTGAAAGCAATTCCACAATAGATAAAAATTGTATGAAATGATGGGGAAATCATCATTTACAACATCCTGGAAACTCTTCTATCTTTTTGGGGCCCCCTATAGATATTTCCCGTTAGCAACCCCACTGGAACTATTTTTTGTTGGATAGCTATCCTTTTACCAGGTTCAAGATGGTTGAAGGGCAGCAAAGTCGTAAGTTTTGAGCGGTTAAGGGCTAGTCTTCAGGAGCCATATTTGTTGGACAGAAGCATTTGAGGAAACGGAATTTGCATGATTCAACCCAAATGTGAAATTGGTCACACATGTCTGATGCCGTTCGTCCTCACCATCATCATGACGCAGAAGATACCACACGGAGAATAGGTGGAAACACGTGGAAAGCAGCAGTGGGCACAGTTCTTCTCGGAGTGCCATTCCCATCACCTTTCCGTAATCCGTGGCTAGCTTGGAAATCACCTATAAATGAGACTTTGCCCATTGCCTAAACATTCTTCATCTTGCGGCCACATCTTTTCCAGGGTCTCCCAGTCGTCTCCCAGTCACCCATCAAAAATGCGCAAAAACCCAGTCGTCTCCGGGACAGTCGACCTTGATGTTCCTCCAATGTCTTTGTCTTTTGGTCCAGCTGTTCCTCAGGATATGGATCAAGATGCGACCTCCAGAAGCCAATTTAGTGTAGCGTTAGTATCACGAGTGGTGTATCATTGCTGGTTGGTGGTTGAGCCACCTACCCCTCTGAAAAATGATGGACTTCGTCAGTTGGGATCATGACATTCCCAATATATGGGAAAAAATGGAAAAATACAAGTCATGTTCCAAACCACCAACCAGATTGTGTTTGTTGGTTAAATCTATGTTCTTCTCCCGTGGTCCGAAAACACCATGTTTGATGTTTGCAGCTTGCACCATGTTGTTGCTTACAACCACGCGTTTTGTTGGGCGACACTCTTTCCCATTTGTGTTGCTTCAACCCCTTTTTCTACCAGTTGAAGGACCAGATTCTTGGCCTTCCAACCCCCCCATGCCTCCCATCTTTTCGGGTTATCCCACTATCTTTGCAGGTTTCAATCGCCCCTTCGCTGGTTGTCACCGCAAAATTCCTGTTACCCTCTGGTAAACTAACATAACTATGGAAAATCACCAATTTTAATGGGAAAATCCACTATACATGGTCATTTTCAATAGCTACGTTAAATTACCAGAGGGTAATCCACTTTTGGGTTTGGTTTCAAACATTTTTAACCCCAATCTGCGGAGAAAAACCCTTCTTACTTTGGACATGGAGGAGGCCAAAACAAAACGAGAGAAACAATACATGGCTGATGGGAACCTTCCCACAATCTTCCCATCCATCCATACGGTTTTTGGGGTTTCGAACATGGGCGTTTATAGTGGGGTCCTCATGAATCTTACCAAGTGATCTGTATAAATTCCCATTCGAAGTTCCATGAAACTGCCATATATTCTATAGAGTCCATATAAAATCCACATAAATTCCCGGACATTTCCCAAAAACCCATGGAAAAATCCATGAAAAATCCCGGGAGTTTCACCAAGTCTCTCTTCCTCCGTGCCCCGCGAGACTTTCGTCTCCCGCGGCGTGAGCCGCACGTGCCGTGGCGGCACGGGCATGGACGCAAACTGCGGCGGGACGGATGCCCATCGGTTGAGTTTTTGTTGAAAACTTTTTTCGTTACCAAAGCTGGCCCCAAAAACAAAAGATATCTATCATATCTATCTATATATATATATGTGTGTGTGTGTATTATATATCAAAACAAAAGATATCTCACCTTTAATATATGTATTATATATATATATATATCATTATAGATATCATTATAGATATATAATTTATATCTATAGATATATATATAATCTCACCTTTATTATAGATATCACCTTTATAATTTCACATGGATATTATATCTTCTTTGAATCCCATAATTTGATCAGTTAAAAAACCACCGAAAAATCCCATGGGTAAAATCCCTCACGACTCGTCCAGCAGCCACAGCTGGCACCTCCAGCAGCTTCGCCATGCCCCTGGCGAAAGCGGCGAATCATTGGCGATTTTCTCCACGGATCCATAGGTTTTTTATGGGGATTACCCTCTGGTAAACATACAAAAAGCTATGGAAACTCACCATTTATAGTGAGTTTTCCCATTAAAAATGGTGATTTTCCATAGTTATGTTAGTTTACCAGAGGGTACCAATGGGCTAATGATAATTATTGGTTAAGGATTGGCTTATGATGATGATATTTGGCTAAAAAAGGCGAATTATCATTTTTTATGTGGTTAATTCATGTTAATTCAGCCAATTACCAAATTAGCCATATTCATGATATGTTGGCGCATGATATGCTAATGATCATTTATAATCTGACTCCTAAATTATAAGATTATAATGGTCCATTTACCAGCCAGCCTAATGAGTAATGACCATTTAGCTGGTAAGAGTCACTACTCTAATAATCTGTTGGGACCAGCTAGTCGTAAACCAGCCTTTAAGCAGTCCCCATAAACTCACCCGGCTGCTGATTCCTCATCTAAATTGTTGCCTAAAACTTACTTACGCTTTCGCTGCGTTGCCGAAGAGTTTTTGGGTTTTGCAACACAAAAGACACCTTTGTGATTTTTGTAGGTAAATATAGGTAATTCATGGTAATTCATCCATAAATGGACCATTTTCCATAGCAAACTGCTAAATACCCAGAGGGTAGGTTTACCAAAAAAGAACCAGAGTTACCAACAAGAATGGTGATTCTAACGCGACTTTTCGTTTTAAACATGGGGGAGGGGAAAAAAAAGTGGATATCCATGGTCATACCCTCAAGCAATCTTATGGAAAGAAACATCGTTGCTATGCCATGTTCAGTTGCCAAGGGGTATTTTCTGCCAATGTCAACATGACGATCCCTGCATCGTACAAAAACACGGGACCCTCGCCGTTGGTCACAGCTTCCCACATGCCTCCCCACAAACAACCCACAGGCTGCTATTCAACCGGGGCTTTGTGCTTGAGAAAAACAACAACGGCGATGCGCGCAAATGATCCCAAAAGCATTTTGAACTTACTTTTTGTCAATGGCCGAGGTGCCTAATTGATCTAAATTGGAGGTACCTACCATACCCTCTGGTAATGACATAGCTGTTGAAAATGGCACATAGAAATAGTGGATTTACCCATTGAAAATAGTGATTTTCCATAGTTATGTTAGTTTACCAGAGGGTAAACCTCCATGTTCCTATGGTTTTCCTATGGTTTTCCCAGCTATAAACCTCCATTTTCCTATGGCTAAACATGGTACTTGATTTGGACCAGTCCGACTCTTGCAATGGTCCCCATGGCAGTCCGAGGCTATCTGCTGGTGCTTATCCTGGCGATCCAAACATAGCCATCCAAATTGAGGAAGCATAGAATCCCCACGAGTTTTGCTTTATTGATGTCGATGTTTGGACAGTGAACCATACCTTAGGATTCTCTGGAATAGTTCTGATACACCCAAATCCAAAGTAAAACATCCTAGGATTTTCCGGAATCCTTTCAGGACACTTGCAACTGTTCCATCCTTTTCCGTCCGATTTCCTGTGCGTGCGCGTCCTCCGGGGGGCTACACGTCACTTTTGCTCGCCATTGGAAAACTGGGGGCCGCAGGGCTTGCCACTGCTGGTGGGATGTCGTGCCCAAGTTCACATCTGAGGGATGAGAACAAGGCAGTTCTATGAATCCTATCCTCACATGTGTGCTATGCACCTGTTTTTGATTTGGTTCATAGACATCCCCAAAATACACCACCAAAACTGAAGATGGAACCCGAAAGTGCTGTGATTATTACCCTCTGGTAAACATACAAAAAACGATGGAAAGATCCACCATTTTCAATGGCTAAATCCACTATTTCTATGTGCCATGTTCAATAGCTATGTTAAATTACCAGAGGGTACAATGAAAGAAGAAACCTCTGGATGCGTGGCCAAAGTTCAACCCATAAATTTCAGCCGCCAGAGAAACTTGGTGGCCGCTTCATGGCTGTTTGGTGCTTTCCACCGCAAAAAAAAAAACTGTCAGGGGATCATTATCCAAAAAAACTGGTTAACCAATATGAAATATATAATGGTACCATATTATAATATAATATAATAGTATATCATATTATGGGTTGGATTGGAAAACCCACCAGTCCAAGCAGTTCTTGATCTTCTCAGTTCAACTCTTCACCGCTCTGGTCATCCCAAAGCCAGCTAAACTGGCACAGCTTTAGTGCTTCCAAGCGTCCCCGGCCAAATGTCCAAAAGCTTTGGTAAGAGGATGCCCATGGTGGTCTGCTTGGGATGTTCATCCCAATTCATCGAAAAACCCTGGAGCTTGCTTAAACCCCTGGGCTAGTGATCATTGCGGGGGGGCCAATTGCTACTAAAGGTGAATATTAAACAATTTATAATATATATATACTATAATATATATATACAATATAATATATATATATAATTATATATATAATATTGTATATATAATATTATATAATAAAATAAAGTAAAATACAATATGATATGATTTAATTTAGTTTAATATAACATAATAATATATAATATATTATATTATACTGATACACTATGGTGTATATATATATGATATATCCCATGTGGTGAATATTAATCCAGGGTGGACCGTACAACTGACTTTAATCCTCGGTCCTGATGGTTCACACCGACACCTGCGCCTCTCCGAAGCTTCACAGACTTCAACCACAAACTCTGTATCTGGCCTTCGGTTTCAAAAGCACTGCCCCTTGCGCCGCGAAGCACGTGGCACGTTGCACCTTACTGACCTATAATTTCTTGTGCACTGTCAGTGGGTTCCTTTCACTACACTGTTCGGATAAGGGATCATTTGCGTGTGTGCGCGTCACATTTTAAGGCCCTGGGATCGATTTGACTGGTCACTGTGATACTAACCATCCCGTTTTTGGGGTACAAAAAAGGACTTGACCCCGTCTCCCCGGCTTTGGGGTACCCAGGTGCTCAATATTCACCCCACAGGTCCCCAATTTCACCGGAAATAGGTGGTGAATAGCCATCCCGAATTGCAGTTTTATAGCATGAGGTTTACCCTCTGGTAAACTAACATAGCTATGGAATATCACCATTTTTAACAGGAAAACTCACTATAAATGGCCATTTTCAATAGCTATGTTAAAATACCAGAGGGTACCACATATTGCCGCTTTGTATCATATCCTATTGGTATCAATCATTGGGTGAATCCACCATTTCTCCATTGGTTAATCCACCATTTAGGGAATTCCACTGTTAATATTTCATATTTGGAATGGCCCCCTATATATATATATATGTACGTATGTATGTAGATGTGTGTGTGCGTGTATATATATATAGATATATATATATATACACGCAAGTCCATGTTCCATGAATTGGTGCCCTCAGACATCCTCAAGACATGCAACGCTGCGCCAGGGGCAAAAGGCCCGATGACAACTGTACGGCTTGAGGGAAGCCCTGCTCATGCGCGAGCATTGGCACATGTAAGGCCCTGAGAAGCAAAGGACTTTGCAGGTGAAGAATATTCATTCGGAATTGATCACTGACAAGTGGGATATACTCCCTTATGGAAGTACCAGAATATAATATTCATGATATCTTCCCTATCATTTGATATAGTGGGATCATATATGATAATCTATGATAGTATATGATAATATATCATATCATGTGATAATACATGATAACATATGATAAAATATGATACCATATGATAACATATGATAATCTCCCCACCATATAGTGGGATAACATATGACTAATCTCGCATCGTCTCACAATTTCAACGGCGCTATGGTGAACCTTTGCTTTCAACACGGCCCGTCGGGTCACCGGAAAGCTGCCGACGGTCGCAGACTTCTCCGCTCGCACTGAGAGGCATACAGATTAATATAATATATTATATAATATATTATATTATATTATATTATGTTATATTATGTTATATTATATTGTATTGTATAATATATATTATATATATATATTATATATATTATATATATTATATATATTATATATATATTATATATATTATATATATTATATATATTATATATTATATATATATTATATATATTATATATATATATATATATCTTATATATATTATATATATATATTATATATTATATATATATATATTATATATTATATATATATATATTATATATATTATATATATTATATATATTATATATATGTGTGTGTATAACTATAAGATATGTCTCCATTAATCAGGAAATGATCCAAGAAACCAACCAATCTAGGAATTTCCAAGCAGGGAGACCATTCATGACCTGAAACAAGGTCAAAAGTCTTCCTTCGACCGCCGAAATGCCCCGAACTCGCCATCTCCTTACACTTGGATCAAACATGTACAGCTTGGGGGTTGTGGTACTTTTGAAAGTCGTTGAAAGCCAGAGAGCTCTCTGCCCCAAAGTTTAGTAAGTTTCCCCGCTGCTGGATTAACCATGTTGACCTGTTAAGGCATGAGTTTTGGAAGAGGTAGGTACCCTCTGGTAAACGTACAAAACACTATGGAAAGATCCACCATTTTCTAGCTGGGTAAATCCACTATAAATTACCATGTTCAATAGCTATGTTAAATTACCACAGGGTACCTTTGTGGCATGGTACCAGTGGTGCCTCTCAATCCACACAACCAAACCCCTGACACCTTGCGGCCGGCAGCCACCTACGACGCAATGCCCGACTTGCGGAGGGCTCCTCTCAGTGTCACTGGCGCGTCGCCTGCGGCAAGCTGAGCAGGTCAACAGTCCCAAATATCTCACCGATCCGCTGATACCCTCTGGTTATGTCAACATAGCTATTAAAAATTGCCATTTATAGTGGATTTTCCCATTAAAAATTGTGATTTTCAATAGCTATGTTAGTTTACCAGAGGGTACTTTTCTCAAAAATCCAAGTGACTTGGCACCAAAAAAAAACGAAAAAAAAAAACGGCCTTGTCTAGTCCTCGTCATCCGTCACCTCCTGAGGCTGCGGGGACATGCGGCTCAGTAGTGCGCGATCGTTTTTCAATCGCAGTCATTTATAATGTTGGCTAAGATATCATGGTAGATCATGATTTGACAAATGAATCATCTAGTCGAACGTAAAAATGCCCTCCATTTGGACCTCCAAAAACGATCGAAGAAATCCGAAACCAAACAATGGTTTAGAGGGGATAGAGGGGTATGGAAGATTAGGGGAAGGGATTGGGAATTCCTACGGTTCATTTATAGGTATTCAAGGTCTGCCATTGAAAGGTGTTACGACTACCATCTCCTCCGGCTCATGCCCCCGACTTAAAGGGATATACCAAGGATTCCAATGATGTAACGCTATGCCCTGCGTTAATCTGACAGAGAAGCCCAGGAATAGCCACTGACCGTTGCCATTGCTATTTCCACTATTTCTACCATAGTACCTGCCCAAAAAGGTAGAGAACGTGTTCAATTTCTACTTTAGGATTGGATTTTCAAACCCTCCATCCCATGATTATCCCATTAACATCCCTATTAAGCCATATAAAAACCTTATAAAAAGCATCTAATCTTCCACCCATGGCCACTCCATGGAGGCCGCCAAGCCAAAAATGGAGGCCGCCTCCTCGCTCTCTTCCACGCTGTCGGCGCCGTGGCGCGCGTGCGCGGAGCTCTCCTTGGGCACGCTCTCGAAGACAAAGGAGCTACCTGCGGCGAAGGAATAGCTATTACTTATGTTAATGGGTATATGATAAGCTTAGTTTAGGAGTGTTTAGGGATGTTAATGGGTATGTTCATCTTAATGGATTTAATGGTCAATGGCTATGTGAGCAACTTTGTTCTGCTATTTCTTAATATTACTGAAAATATGGGAAATAGCTTAAGCGATTCTGCTGTTGAATGGATGTAAATGGGTATGTGATCAACTGAGGGGACATAGAGTTGATCATTTTTTCGACATGAACCTACCAACGTGCCAACGATCTTGAAAACAAACATTGGTGCACATGGTATTTTTCACTGGGCGATGAAAAACCCTATAAAATCAGCTGGATGTTGAGGTTTTTGTCTTCCTCGCCAGCTGGTTTTTTCGTCAACATCCAGGCACCTGACAGCGACATTTTGTCCTGTCCCCCCCTGGGCTTCGACAGGAAACCACCGTCCCCAAACTCACAAAAAAGGTTCCCACGAAAAATCACGTTTTGTTTGGAAATAAAACTTCAATGGATGGGTTCGTTCGGGAAAATTTCGAGTTGAGCCTGGCTCACCCTTAGTATCAATGGCCATTTCAGGATCCTTAAAATGGAGGTACCTACCATATATAAGGCCTATATAAGGCCTATGTAAGGGAATATACACTCAAATATGGCCTTATATGGTACAGTACCTCTATTTTAGGATCCTGAAATTCCCATTGAACTTAGCAGGCCGTGTTCCCGTCAGTTCTGGGAATTCCATGGAAGTAATGTTATCCCTGGGTTGGTAAACCTCCATCAGTGGCCTATGTAAGGGAATATCCCCACAAAATATAGTCTTATATGGTACAGTACCTCCATTTTAGGATCCTGAAATTCCCATTGACTCCAGATTATTGCTAGGGAGGTGCCAGGTACCAAATTTGTTCGTAATTTATTCGACTACTCTGGGGGGGCAACCCCCAATTCATAGTCCGCGTAAAATAAACCCAGGCAATCATGTATACATGATCGATGGGATATAACTAATGGAATACAGTAGATATATATATATATCATGATATGTTAAATACAGTATATCATGTATATATGGCAATGGCTCCTATACAGTATATACAATATGGTTTATACTACCTATGTATACAATGGGATATGTCATAATAGATTCCTCATACCATAGAAAAACCATGTAGAATTCGGAAACCACCAGCACCTTCGTTGCCCTGCGCATGCTCTAAAGCCTCAGGACCCGAGGCCAAAATTCGGCCTAGTTTTCGGCAAACATGGGCCATGGTTGAGTTATTCCATGCATATGCCATTCATGTGCCATTCATATGACACATTCGTATACCATGAAAATATCCCATTTCAATGGATTGGTTTAAGGGAAAATCTACAGGAAACCATGTTTTTTTACCATCAAATATAGGGGTTTCCTGTAAATTTTCCCATCATCCAATTCTATGACCATTAGTATACCATGATTGACTATCCCCATCAACGCTATAAGAAAAACCATCATCATTAGCGTGCCGGCAGGTCAAGTTGCGTGGGATTTTTATGGGGACCCTAGTGGTCGGGCCATGGTCATCCCGGGCTGGGGAATCCAAACCTGGTGGGTTAATCTGAATCCCTACCCTCTGGTCTGGTTATGTCAAACATAGCTATTGAAGCCATGGTCCAGTCGAAATAGTTGATGTACCCTGCTACAAAATGCTGATTTTCCATAGTTTTTTGTATGTTTACCAGAGGGTAATGGATCTAATGGAAGGATGAGCATATCCCAAGGGGTTAATCCCAGTCCTAACTGAGTTTTGACCTGACCTACCCGACTAACCAGTCTACCGACAAACAGACTGGAAATCTCGACTATCCTCCAGTACTCAAACGTGGCAATTGGATATCTAAAAATGGAGGTTTGAATGGGAAAATCGCGTGTGTGGGATTTCCATTGCCATGTTTGATTGCCATTGCCTGAGGTATCAGAACTTGCCGATTTTCAGGGGCACTGACTTTTCCACCAACAAAAATGGTATAAAAGTTTCCAGCAACAAACTTTTCCACTGACTTTTCCACCAACCTGCCGCAGTTTCAAATGACCCTTGTTGGTTGCGCGAGTTCTGTCCCCTTTTTTTCATGTGGCAGCTTCCGGGATTCCGCCACCCTCTGGTTATGTCAAACAAATAGCTATGGTTTAAAAATGGCCATAGAAATACTGAGTTTTCCCATTAAACATGGTGATTTTCCATAGTTATGTTAGTTTACCAGAGGGTAAGTTGCAGAAAGGAAAATTGAGAATTCAAGCAACCCTTGGGACTCGCATTGGTTTTTAGAATAATTTAACTTGTTGTTTTGAATCCCAATGGGTTTAGGTTTTTGTCTTAAAACAACCCTTCCCCCCGTTGAAGAATTTATCCTATAAATGTTTGTGATCGAATGATTTGGGGCCCATATGGTGGAAGTTGATGTACGGGTCCTCCGCGACCATTCCGTTTTCTCGTTGAAACCCGCCTTTTTCTTCGCCAAATCCCCCTGCGTTTACTTTCTAAATCGCCACATTTGGTGATGAAATCCCTCATTCTCTTTGGTTGGATGAGCCCCCATCCTTGGTGATTGAATCATATTAAATCATGATTTAAATGAGATTAAAACATATTAAATCCCATTTCTTGCTTGGCACCTGCCATTTCTTCATGCCCTTCGTGCCCATCTGGCTTCCCTACGGCTTGTTGGAGTAGCTCGGCTGCCTCGCGAACCTTGGAGTCCTTGGAGTCCTGGAAGGCCAAGGCTAGAGAGATGGCGAAGCCTGGAGAAACCTGGTGAAGGAATGAGTTTTATGATGTGTCTCAACATGGAGATATATCCACCATGTTTAGCCATAGGAAAATGGAGCTTTATGGCTGGGAAAACCATAGGAAAACCATAGGAAAACCATAGGAAAATGGAGGTTTACCCAACCTGGTAAACTAACAGTTTGCTATGGAAAGATCCACCATTTTGTAGCTGGGTAAATCAACTATTTCTATGGCCATGTTCTGCAAATATCTGCTCTGGTTGGTGGTATACCTACCCCTCTGAAAAATATGAAAGTCAATTGGGATCATGACATTCCCAACATGTGGAAAGTCATAAAATTCATGTTCCAAACCACCAGCATAAATCAAAACAGATGTTCATAGAGAAACCATGCCCTCCGTGAAATGAGTGTTTTTGCTATTAACAGTTGATTTTTCCCAGAAGACATGATGGGATAAGAAAGTGGTGTTAGTCAATCAAACCTGTTGTTTTCACCCAAAACCCGAACCACTAAAATGTGGATGATTTGCATGATTTACCCTCTAGTAAACTAACGTAACTATGGAAAATCACCATTTTTAATGGGTAAATCCACTATAAACGGCCATTTTTAATAGCTATGTTAGTTTACCAGAGGGTAATTCAGAAACAAACCTAACCAACCATCATCGAAGATTCCGCACCAAAAATGGCTGACAGACACATCAGTATCAGCGCATGGGCGCACAACTCACCATTCCTGGCCCTTAAAAAAACACCACATGGCTAAACTCAGCTACCCTGCCAGAAGTTTTGCTTTACCCTCTGGTACTCTAAGATAGCTATAGAAAATGGACCGTGCCTTTATCTGGTTTTCCATGGCTATGTGAGATTACGAGGGGGTAATCCATCCAGCCATCCAGCATTGCTTAAAATCCCATTTGTTCTGCTTTCCATGTCTGGATCACATTCTTTTTTTGGAAGTTCCATCCCGATTAACCCCATATTCTGCGAATTGAATCCAAACTAATGTGGCAAACCTGCCATAAACTATCCCATTCACCCACGACTGGGCCACGGTCAGGGTCATCAAACATATCATCCCAAAGAACTTAGGATAGTGACTGATAGTGACCAATGTAATACCTCATCATTTTCCATATCATTGTACTAAAGCAGCCCATAATTATCATAATTCTCCGACCTAACATTGGGTATACCACATTATCAGTAACTATAAATGGAGGTATTAACTGTAAAATCACCTGCAATTTCGGAATTTTCCAGCAAACCACGGCTATGATTGCATACCGGAGGCTAACTCCACTAATTATCCCAGTCATACCTCATGACTATTAAACCATATGTTGTTGCCATATGAAACCATGGTTACCGGGGTCAATCCCCTCCAAAACATCCCCTTAGGTATCCATGATTCCATTATTATCAAGGATTCACCAGTGTTTCACCAGAAATTTACCAGTGTATCCCTGAACAAATCCCAGTAATATCTCTATGAAACCATATTACCCTCTGGTTCCAACTAACATTTTAAGCTATATATTGCCATGGCCATAGAAATAGTGGATTTAGCAAAATGCAAAGGATCTGGATCTTTCCAGTAACCGTTAAACTGTAACAGTTTACCCCAGGTTTTTCCCCAGGTTTTTCCCTGGTTTTTCCCCATTTTCACCATGGATTTTCCTCCAAAAACCCACCGTTTCACCCGCCTCCGAGAACTCCCGGAGTTGGTTCTTCTCGGCCTGTTGGGCCGCCGTTTCGATGAGTCTCCTGAGGCGGCAGTCCCTGGCCGGTGCCCAAAAAAATGAGTGTTGTCAATCTATAAGATGTATAGAAATGTATAGAAATGTAGAGAATCTAATATAGATATATCATGGATATACTAATCTATATACTAATCTACAATCAAATCTATCATATATCTATATTTGCGTGAATCGATTTCCGTTTGATTGATTTAGGGCAAGTCTCTATGATTCCTTTCATCCAAGTCCTGGGTTTTGTAGCTAGTTTGGAGGCTCTAAACCATCGATCTGGGTTTCTCGCGACTATGAATTTAGATGTTTTCCAGGATATTAAAAGTTTTCCAAGGAATGTGGCAACCCCAAAAATCGTCACCATCCCCAATAGAGGTATGATGCAAAATGACCGCCTTCCCAGCTCCTGGCACTTTCAGTGTGAGCCACGTGCGCTGCCACCGCATCCTCTGTAAAAAAAAACAACGATGAATTGAATCATCCAAAAAATCGCATTGGATGATATTAGATTCTTAGATGTTCAATGTGATGATATATAATATTCTATAGATTCTTAGATGTTCCTGATAAAGCAAAAAAGGGCCTATTTTCCCATCGAATCACCAATCAATGTGCGATTTCGCTGCGCCCGAGGAACAGCTTGAGAAAGGCTGGGCGTGCTCTCAAAGACCGAAGCCGACGTGGCCTGGTGGATTCTCATCTCACCGAAGCCCCCGAAGACTGGGAGATTCTGGGAGATTTGGAGGTTACCTTACTGAAAATTACATCAAATTCTAGGTGCACCATATTTTACAGCCCAAGATTCATCATTTTACGGGTTTTGTTGTTGCCTAGAAAAGGTGAATTTCGATGATTTTGGCCCAAAAAAATGACCATGGCCTTTAAAATGCTACGATTCGACATTGTGTCAATGGTAATTTCAGGATCCAACAGATGGAGCTACGAACTACCTACGGTAGTACCATATATATAAGGCTATATTATATAAGGCTATATTTTCTGGAGATATTCCCTTATAAACATAGGCCTTAATTATATCGGCCAAAAATTGATGGTATATAGGTAGCTCCTATCGTTCTCTCCCATGAACCGACCATGGGAAGCCAGCTACAAGCTATGGTGGATCTTTCCATAGTTCTGTGGCTGTTTACCAGGAGGGTAAATTAAAATGCTCTAATTCACAAACCCGAAACAAGTCCATTGGAGCATAGTTGCCCTCACAAACCAATCATATCAAGTGTCGTCGCAGTGAGGTCGTTGTTGCTTATCCGAACAGAATCAGACAAATGAAATACCCTCGAGCTGAACAAAATGAGCATTTGAATCATTGGAATGGAAAAATCATCAAACTTAATGAGGGATTGTCCAGCAAGCCATGTTTGATGACACCATAGGGCCTTAGGGTAACCCATGGTACCCAAATCCGACCCGGCTTCCATGTTGGCGCCTGCACGGCCGAGGCATGGGTCACATGCGCGGAACTCTCCGCCGGCGCGTTCTCGTACCTTCTGGGAATTCCAGCCCAAAAAGGGAACCATGGGCATCCTATTGATCACCATGGATTTTCCGCATTTTGGTCTCACCACCGCATTGAAAAAAAAACCGTTGGCGAATTCGAAGCTCCACATATCAACTGCAGCGATATGTAGCGGCACTTTTTGGTGACCCCCCAGCCCACCCCAAGCGCCACAGCGGGTCACACGATGTCACCTCCGCTGCTCCACTGCTCCGCGGCGCTTTGGATCAACTTCTCCGCATCTGAGGTCTGGGGACCTCGGCCGTGGTGCGGTGTGGCATCAGGACATCGCAGACATCGCACCAGGTGTCAGATTTATGGATGAGATTTACCACCTGGTAAACTAACATAGCTATGGAAAATGGCCATTTATAGTGGATTTTCCCATGAAAAATTGTGATTTTCCATAGCTATGTTAGTTTACCAGAGGGTACGGGATTTTAATGGATTTGATGTCATCAGTTATGGTTCAAGGATGATTATTTTGAATTTGTTTGGGAAGATACAAAAGTATACTCAGGCTCGTGATGGTGCCAACTGGGTTGAGCACTGGGAGGGCCCAACCAGGTTTTATGAACTACCCAGTGACTAGCTCACATCGTCTCTTATTTCTGATCAACTCCTGATGGTCCTGATGCTGATATGTTTGTCATGGTCTTCATACATATCCACTGATAATGGCAGCCAAATGACAAACCCCGTCTAGGTTGGCTACTTATACAACTTTAGAAATGCTGAGTATCCCTTCATTGCGATATGGTTGACCATCGGACCATCATTCCACCTCGCCCAAAAGAAATCGCTCAGCGGCCATTTCTGTGTAGCACATCTGCCTGGGCTGAGGTTTCATGTTGGATTCGGTTTCTCCTCGGACACTTCAAATATCTTCCAACTTTGCTCAAACAATTTTATGTAACAAAGCAACCATGCATTCATCTAAAGTCTAAAGAAACCCTAACATTTGTTCAGGAGAGCGCCTAATTGTTGCTCTAAAGTTCAACAATTAACCCAGATCTGGATATTTTGACATATAATATATATAGAGAGAGAGAGATATTGATAGACAGATCGATAGGCAAATGCCGATCCACACTCCCAACCTCATCCTCATATTCCCCAAAAAATCTCAACTGTTGGAACGGTTGTTGAGTCATGTTCCGGGGCTCTAAAAACTACCTCAAGTCAAATATCTCAGATCCACTACCTCAAATCCACTACCGGTTGTCTCTTTTCTACTCATCTTTTCAAATCTGCGAAAAAAACAAACAAACTCCAAATCCCATCAAAATCATCAAATCTCCGGCCTTGGAGGCTTCCGGCTGACTTTCCCATGCCATGGACGCCGCATTCACACCGCAGGCCACGGCCACGCTCTCGGCCGCCGAGGCGTCGGCGGAGCGGCGCTGCGGCTGGCTTTCCTCGGGAAAGCATTTCCGGAAACGCTGGAAATTACCCTCTGCATGGTAATTTAACATAGCTATTGAAAAGGGCTATTTATACAGTTGATTTACCCATTGAACATGGTGATTTTCTATAGTTATTTTAGTTTACCAGAGGGTACCCACAAAGACTGGTCGATGGTTTCATAAACCTACTGGTTGATGGTTGAGCCCTACCCCTCTGAAAAATATGACTTCGTCAGTTGGGATGATGACATTCCCAATATATGGAAAGTCATAAAAAAAATGTTCCAAACCACCAAGCAGCTTATAAACCATCATAAACCCAACTGAATTTATAGCCCTTGGGGATCGTGGAACTGGGTCGATGTTGGTCAATAGTTTCAGTTTCCCATGGTTTCCCAACGGGGCTGCTTTGAGGGTCAATCTTGAAACGCACCCTGAGTGATAGAACAAACATGAACGAAGACATATGGCAGTGTGTCAAAACCTTGTACCCCTAGTGAACATCAATATAGCTGGTAAATGGATGTTCATCCCCCTAAAAATGGTATCTATAGGTATTGATCCATACCCATATGATATCAGCATATCATTCATGCAATTGGGCTGTTTAACAGACTTGTCCGCCCTCAGAAACAACACTGAAGAATTGAGAGCATCACCATGAACATCACCATGGTCATCATTATCACCACCGCCATCATTTTTGCGAACGCCGCGGTGTATGCCAAGCCGCAAAAACCGTGGGGGCGGCGGCGGCCGCTTGCTCGATGAGCGCCCTGCACACAACAGTTGGGCATGACGGCGTAACGTATGGGATGCTGCCCCACTCAAGGCATCCGTTTCCGTTGCCAATCTTCAAGATCCTCAATGGGTTGGAGGGGAACATTCTACAGGAAAACGGATGGTTCTTATTCCTCATAGGGGTCCTGCAAAGTTTCCCGTGCCCTTCAAGAAGAAATTAGCTTGGTATGAAATATTCCCCCATGAAAGTTGTGACTAGTTGAGCCACTAGACCCAATAGACCCTCTCGACGCTACCCCAGCAGAGTTCAATCATCTTGACTAAGATGAATGCACCCAGGATCAGGTATCACACGCACCATCGCGTCTGTCGAGCCACATCATTGATTCCATGAAAACAAGATGAAAAGTGACAAAAGTGCACTTCTTCTTTTCTGCATGCGCTCAGTTGCGCCATCGAAGCGCTTCGATGCTGACGCTCTTTGTCGCCTAGCCACTGGTCGTCATTTGGTCGTCATCTGTGATATCTGTCATCACATTAAAACCTGTTTCATCGTCTGTTGTCTGTCCTTCCGCAATGCCTCCTTCTTCCTCAACGGATTCCTCGATGCCGTCCAACTCTTGTTCTCTGGGGCGAGCTATGTGATTTGCATCAAATGATGACCTGGTTGGTGGTATACCTACCCCTCTGAAAAATATTAGTCAGTTGGGATTGCTATTCCCAGGATATATGGAAAAATAAAAAATTGCTGCAAACCACCAACCAGTGACGAATGCATCCGGAAAAAAATCGGCCTCTCTGGGTCGTCCATCACTTGAGGGCAGTGCAAGGTGATATAAGTTTGCCTGGAACACATGTAGCTCCGAGAGGCCCCGGGCACGCGAAAGAGCATTGGATGGCGAAAGTAGCACCGGCGTTCAATTTCGGATGGGGGAAGGTTGATGACATTTTGAATCATTGTTTCAATCCTATCCCAATCGGTCGGCCGGATAAATCTGCGCAGGGTTGGCATGCCTGATTCGATGGTGGGTGCCCATGATTGACGATGGAAGCTTAAACGAACTTCCTTGACATCCAGAAGTCCAGTCTCATTGGTAAACAACAAAGCAATTTCCATGAGCTCTTCACAGGTATCCACAATTTCCGTCTCTGAGCTTCGCGTACAAGAGGGAGCTGTCGAGGCAAAATTTCTTGGAAGTGCTCTGGCTCCGGCTTCTGATGCGTCGGGTGGTGGCTTTTGTTCTGGATCCTCTTTCATGGCCAACAAACCTCCCGGAACCGCAAATGGCCAAATAGCGGAAGAGTCAGCCGAAAAGATATATGTTTCCCCACAGCCATTTTGGAAATAGATAACAGATCACATTAGATAAGCGTGAAACTTCTTCCCAATGATTTAAAGAAAATATACATGATAGCGGCTATATACATGATTACCCTCTGGTAATTTAACGTAGCTATGGAAAATCACCATTTTTGATGGGAAAACTCACTATAAATGGCCATTTTCAATAGCTATGTTAGTTTACCAGAGGGTACAACATACTACAACAAGATGAAATTCATCGATGTGAAACTGGAGACGAGAAGCAATAGTCGGCCGAGTCCTGACTGGGAATCCTGGTGTGGAAGAGATCCAACGAAACGGGACCATCTGCTCCCTGCAGTGAAACCCTCAAGCCTCGTGGTATACCTGGGGTGCTCATCTCAGACGGATCTTGTGCATGTAGGAAATTCAAAAAATTCAAACGGCTTTCCGGATCCAGGAAGAGGTCCAGGAAGTTGCTCTCAGACAGCTTCTTCTTGGACTTCAACAGCCGCTCCAAGCAGCTGGCATCATCCAGGATATAACAGCTGCTTCGATCCAAGAGGAAATCACCATCGCAGACTCCACGCAGGACGTGTCGAAATCCCAACATCAAGGAGGATGCGCTGCCAGAATTTTGTCTGGCTGCGATGTTAGATCGAATGTTGTGGATAACGAGCACAAGAGTTATTGCCACCACAAAGTGACTGGTCAGAGTTGAGAAAATGATGATGGGAGTTAGTTTCTCAAAGCCAATGAGGAACCAGAATCTGAGGGTGAAGACTACAGATTCGCTAATGTACAACGTCAAAATCACCTTCAAATCGATCAGAACAACAGCCAGAAGAAACAGGAACACGACGAGGAGCTTCTCTTGACACAAAAACACCACTAAATTCGTCTCCAAGGCAACGCCCATCGAATACAGGAAATGACAGCAGCCGAATGTGAATGTGACATATCGGAAATGACGATTCGTTGTCACGTTCCCTTCCGTAAAGATATGTCCAAAATATCCAATCAATGAGGCTATCAACTCAGAGAAGGGTTCATAGCTTGGATGCTGCATCAGCCTCCAAAGTGCTGTAACAGCAAACAGGAACGCCAAATGGAGCCCAACTTTGTTGAAAAAGCTGAGCATGCGAAGCCGCGTTTGAAGCAACTGATCATCAAAACGCCTCTGTTGATCAACTTGACGTTGAGGGATCAAAATTTCCTGTGGTGCGATCATCTCCTTGAAATAGTCCAGTGCCACGAAGAGATCGGACATGGTAAAAGCGGCATGCAAAATTGAAAACGAGAGAATTCCTGTCACTGTGACACCGAGGTCAATAGCAGGTTGAAACATCGCTGCAGTCGCCCGGCGAAAAAAATCACTGCCACTGAGCTGCTACTGTACTGCTGCTACTGTACTGGCGCAGGAGCCAAAAAGTGCACTTCTTCCCAAATCCCATTTGTGTTCTTGCCGGTGCTCCATTCGACACTGTGAAGCCTCATTTCGTGAGAGAACAAAACATTACTGGTGCAACCCCAAATGTCACATTTGATAGGCAAAGAGAGGGTTGGAAGACTGTTTTCCCCTAATACTGTGTGACCCCAGTTCTTTGTGGGTTGAGAGCCACGTCATTCCCTCTGATAAACTACCATAGCTACTAGAAATCCTACCATAGCTACTAGAAATCACCATGTTTTGACTGGTAAATCATCAATAAGCCATCTATATCCATCTATACCATAGCTATGTAGCAAATTCGTGGCGGCTCCCAGTCGAATCCCCACATTTTCCGACGCTTCGGCACCAACGGCAACCCCCCGGTGCCACCTGGCTGCCGCCGTCTCTCCAGCATAGCCATAGCCACCGGCGTCCGCGTGGCCGCGCTGCGAGGGACGACTCTCAAAGACTGTCGCAGCCTAGCGGATGGTTACCATGGTTTACCCCTGCTATAAGTATGGTTGGTTAATGGTTACTAATGGTTAATAATGGTTTTCTTGTGGTTAATGATGGTTAATCATTGGTATATAATCAATGGGAGATCTTCAGGATCCAACAGATGGAGGTACGTTAGTACCATATGTTTGGCCATATTTTGTGGGGATATTCCCTTACATAAGCCTTAAAAATAGGCCTTATATATGGTAGGTACCTCCAATTTAGGTTCCTGAAATGGCCATTGACATTACCATTTGGGGATGGTTGGGATAGTTCCGCCCATCAAAATGATGATCTTAAGGGTGGTTTATGGCTGGGTTTTACATGGTTTTACCACATTCACTATCTTGACTCATGTGGGAAAGCTGAGAGTAGTTACCCTCTGGTAAACTGCCACATAACTATGGAAAATCACCAATTTTAATGGGAAAACTCACTATGTCAATGGCCATTTTCAATAGCAAACTGTTGACATAACCAGAGGGTAATACCTATCGTGAAAATCATCCCAAGCAGGGGTATGCCCAAGAAAAAACCGCAATGGGCGATAATTTGTCCCACCTGGTACCAGCTCGATCCTGAGAATTCCACTCTTCAGGGGCATGTCGTCTCCCAACCCGAAAAAACTCATGGCAGGGTCGTCATGTTGGTTGGAGGGAGGGTAGCTATTTCCGCCATGTATATATATATATATGTGTGTGTGTGTACATATATATTTTACATAAGTTTGGGGCTTCCAGGTTGCCGGTAGATATCTATGATAGTAAATAGTGTGCGCAACCTTGGCATATCCTTTTGCAATCAGCTGGGATATGTTGGGATACAGCTTACTGGTTGGTCATAAAAACTATCCTGAAAAATCATCCTAGTGGCGTCCCGTTGTGGTGGTTGCAACTACCAAGAATGAGTCAGAAAAATGGCGCATGTTGCACAGGTTGAACATTGATATGACATGTTGGACACTGAACTGGAAAAAAAAACACTGACATCCATTTTTTGCCAGCTTTTTTAAACATCCAACTTCAAATCGGGAAACTCAATTGTCCAAATCAAGGGACAAGTGATGATGTCCACCCAAAACAGTTCTTGGAGTCAGCTCACCTGACTCGGCCCCCAGCCCCCACCTCGGAAGCCTGCGGCACAGAGGCACACTGCCCCGCCTTGTACTCTGCAGTGCCTTGTTTCGCGAGGCGTCTGCGGAGCTCTGCGGAGGGGGGGGTACATCAGATATTTCGGGGTGGTTTTGACCGGGACGACGACAGATTTTGGTATACCTAGTGATGAGAAAAGATCAGAATGAGAATGACAGTTGTGTCAACATACTGAGGAGAGAAAGAAAAAGAACCAAAATAGTGGTGAAGAATAATGGTAATGGCATTCCATTATCATCATCAAAGCCAATCAAAATGGAAGTGTAACTCGTCCAAATCAAAATGATCAAAATTATCGTCCGATCAAAATGCGAATGGGAATCTCTATCGTCCTATGTTGATAAGCCAGCGAACGATGCGAAGCGCTTTCGAAATAGGTTGGAATGAAGACATCCAATATAATATATATATATAACATTATATTATATTGTGGAATATCCATGTGTTGGATTGCCAACATGAAACAACCATTTAGGATTGCCAAGGCAGCCAGTGTTTTCACACGTTTTCACACAAGCACCAGAGGATCATCACTGATCAATGTTCAGATGTTCAAGTCGACTTGAACCCGTGACGCCGTGAGTTCCCAGGCAACTCAGGCAATGTATCCCAGGACACATCGAAGGATGTTCACTATGTTCACTACAAAAGGTGGTTCAAAACCTCCATAAACCTCCTGTAAACTTTGAAAAATTGTTCAACACCCAAGGATTCCATAGGTGCACAGGTTGCGGCAACGACATTCAAAACCATCTCGCCAAAATCCTCCGCCCTCTTTTCCTTGATTCCGAAACTCGCGCCGTGCCCACGAAGCGTTGCTTAAAGCAACGCTTGACGCGCAACGACTACAGCCGCGTGTCGACCACGTGGGTGAAACATCTACCGTTTCCGGATGGCTATTGGGGGGCCAACCCCCGCGGAACTGCAGAACATTTGGCTAAAAAATGGGACCCCAGGTGCTACAAAATGGCCAAAAATGGCATGATTTCATATGACTTCCCCCTGCTTTGCCGTGACTCAAAAACTCAGTTGATGCCTGCTGGCCATATTGGCACCGCTGCATCTCAGGTGTCAATGTTCTGCCTTTATGCTCGACCTGTGAACCGCGCGTTCGAAAAAAAATCTGGGTGAAGCCGCTTGGAATGTCTCCCAGTTGCTGGCGACTGGTGCCATTTAACATGGATTTAGCCTCTGGTAAATTTAATATAACGTAGCTATGGAGAAAATGGCCATAGAAATACTGAGTTTTCCCAGCTACAAAATGGTGGATCTTTCCATTGTTTTTTGTAACAGTTTACCAGAGGGTAAACCCAAAACATCGGGCCAAACATCCCACGGTTAAGCAGCCAGCCTGCTGGATGATGCGGAACGTTGAGAAAGCGAGAAAGCCCATGAATACAAGATGAATATTTATGGGAAAACCATAGGAAAATGGTGGTTAATAGTGGTTAATAGTGGTTAATGATGGTTAATCATTGGTTAATAATAATACTGGTTGGTGGTTGAGCCCCAATCCCTCTGAAAAATGATGGAGTGAGTTCGTCAGTTGGGATGACATGATGATGACTTATCCCCAATATCATGGGAAAAATCATCCAAATGTTCCAAACCACCAACCAGTTATATATGAATAGTTATATCCATAGGGTTTGTACGTTCGTTATATTACTTATATCCTCCATAAGCCGAAATATTTCACCAAGTTAGGTTTGTGCGTCAACTTGGCTGTTTGGAACCCACAGGATGCCACCATCATAAACCTCCCCTTTCCCACAACAGTATCTACATATATCTACAGTGGAAGAAATCCTAACCTTGGATGGTAACAATGGAATCTAAAAACCACCAATAACTGGTGGTTTCTTCCATGTCCATATCTTCCTGCCACACCTTACCCTCTGGTAAACTAACATAACTATAGAAAATCACCAATTTTAATGGAAAACTCACTATAAATGGCCATTTTCAATAGCTATGTAACAAATTACCAGCCTTACCAGCCCTTGTTTCATCCTGCCTCGCGTGGTTGCTCCTCAGATTGCTCGCTAAGGCCTGATCCACCTTGGGCTTCGGCGGCTGCACGGGCGGCGGCGTGGGGGGCTTCACGTAGAGCCGCCGGTTCAGCTTGCGAATCTGGCAGATCTCCGGCGTGGCCTCGGCAGATCCCCAGGAAAATCATGGTCAATTTGAAGCCATTCCGATGGTTTTGGGGGGTGTTACTGGAAAATCATAGGAAATCATTGGGAAAATGATTTCCTAATGGAAAATCACGGAAAATCAGTTAGAAGTTGAAGTATCGAAGTTTTAGATAACCATGAAAATTATGGGAGTTGAGCTATTTTTGAATTGGATTGAATCATGAAAAAGTTGGATTTTTTTTGTGACAACAAATGGGATTTGATGCGACATTCAGGTATGGGATTCAACCTATCACACTAGTGTGGAAGTCTCTAATGAACAAAAATGTAAAAACCACAAATTTGGGATCTGCAAAACACCTGGAAGGTGCTGATGTCTCCGATCTGAACAAACGTCTTTCTCCCATGTGGAAGAGAGTTTTTCTATCCCAATATCCCAAAACTCACGGTCTTCGGATCAAAATCCCTTAAAGAATCAAACTAAGCCTTCCAAGTCCCTAAGTCCCCAGTGCCCATCCAACATCCACTTTGCTTTCGACATCAACCCCACTACTTTTTGGCCGGTTAAAACATGGTTTCAACATGTCAAAAAAACCCGCCTTTTTGTTGGTGGAAATCCATCCGCCATCCGGCCGACCTTCTCTTTGGCGGCTTCATGGACTAAGATGGGATCGCTCCAGCACTTGTTGGCCTTCTTCATGGCCTGGTGCCACACAAATCTTCCGCAATGGGTGCCATGAATGGGTGCTTTGTGGGTGCCAAAAATTGGGTCACTTTTTATGGCAACCTATATGGCAACCTATGGCAACCATGGGAAGTTAAACCCGCAGAAGTTGAACATATACAACACCTGTAACTACGTAACTACGTACGTTAAAAGATTCCACTTAGAACCGGAACTGCACTTCCTTCAGAAGGGATTTTTTAATGGTGCTAAGTTCGGCGAGCTAAAAAAAACCGAACGAAGTGCGGAGGTTAAAAAAAACTGGGGTGTCTTCATCCATGGTAGATGTTCCATTGCCATGTTGGACTACCGGAGAGTTTTCACCAT